AAAATAGATTTTCAGATAATCCTAAAAACATTTTAAATCAAAATTACATACCATGATAAAATTTGAAGGTGCACCTTACCTCTACACCTACGGATGCGTCCGTATGCAAACTGCACCTGCACCCTTCTTAATTTTCCTGATCTATGTTCCTGTCGTAGCATACCAATCCCTACTCAAACTTCAATATATTTTGTATGAGTCTTGATGAAAAGCATTATGAGCTAAAAAAAAATGGTTGAAATTAAGGAAGCCACTCTTTAGATATTGGGGTTGCACATAGAGTGTAGCATGGATTTCCAAATACTTCTGCAATATATATATATATATATATATATCTCCGACCCAAATAGTTTGGGAAAAGTCTCTGAGGATAATGATTTTTTTTGTTGGGGGGGAAAATATCCTTAATTAGTGGAAGACATGTCTGCTGGTTTGCAAATCACAGGGTGGCCTGCACATGATTCAGCTGTAAGCTCTGTTAAATTTGGACCTGACGAGGCAAGCATATTCAGTTTAGGATCTGATGGAAAGGCAAGTATCTCCTTTTGTTATAATTGAATATGATTGCTTATATCGTTGCCATTTATCTTGGACAATCCAGTGATTCCTATCATTTGCTGCCAAGACTGGAATGCTTTGGTAATTTTTTTCATGGTTATGTGTTATTGAAACGCAGAGTACAACTTCTAGCAGCATTAACGGCTACTCTTTCTCTTCTGTCTGTTCTTTGGAACACTTTATGCTTTTTGGGCCTGTTAGTTCCAGATGTTGATTTTCCACTATTTTGAGACACCACTGTTGCAGATATTTGAATGGAGCTTGCAGAACCAAGGTCAGGTTCTCTGGTCAAGGGACTGCAGCAGGTAACTTCCACAGCTCTCTGGACTTGATTAGGGGCTTTCCCTTGTTCAAGAATACTTCTAAATGCTATTGGTCATGTTAACTAATGAGCCATTTCATGATTTTTATAATTTAATTATGACAAATTTCGAAAACCATTCTTTTGTAGGTTCTGCGACTTTAAAAATTCAGTCATTCCTCAACATGAGATGGGATTAGATTTTACTGGCAGGAGATTGTTGGTGACGTCTGAGTCTACGAGATCACCTATATATCAGGTGGGCAATGACCCTTGAGCCTTTCATTTCGTCTTTTACTTTATGGTTTGGATTTTTTCCAGTTTGCATGGACAAGAATATAGCGACAGGTCGAGATATTTCCAGATATCTCCAGCTCCTGAAAACTCTAAGTTTTGAACATATCTGCAGTTTTTTCAATGCTCAAACTACTTTCCAGATTTCATCTTTTGTGGAATAGCACAATAAAGCAATCAAACATTGAATATCAGCTCTATTGAGCATTTTATTCTAAATTGTTCACGGAAGGAAGGATTAACACTCATATCACAATGGTTGTGAAGGAAATATGCAAGATTTTTTTGGGGCAAATTATTTTGAATTTTGGAGATGCAGTTGATCTGGACTTTTAACTTTATATCTGATCTTGTCATGGCGCAGATTGCTACATTTGCTAACATCTGTGGCATTTGCTTCATTTATGTGGAACCTTGTATGTCTGGAAGGTTGAGTGGTTGAAGTCTGTTCCTCATACAAGCCAAGCTTGCCTATTAAATGGAAAGGGACAAAATGGTGTATCACTTTGGGTGAATCTGACTTCAGAAAATGATATGTTGAACTCCTAGGTTTTTTTTTTTAATCCATAGTCTACTTTTATTCTAGAAAAATTACATATAATTGATAATAAATAAAAGGGATTGTATATTAAAGGAGCATTCGCCTTTAGCGCATGGAGGTCACAGTCACTAGCCATTGGACGTGAAATCTAACTTATTGAAGTTTGTCATAATATTCGAGAAATTTTATTTGGAACTTTGTGCTCTGTCACTGTTACATCTCTAACCACTAGATTTCAAAGAGTCAATAATGGTCCTGACCTCCTTGTATCAAGAGCAAATAAGACTTGTATACATTTTCCTAAATAAGACTTGTGTATGAGAAAGTGTACACAAAATATGAGAGTAGTTGGGAAAGTAATGGCATAATTTGAAAGTTAACCTTGCATTCTAATCACTACCATCTGTTGGGATAGTTGGGATGGTGGTAAACTAATCCAGGATTTGAAGAAGGAAGGCTCTAGGTTGTGGACATGAATGGGAAGTCTATGAATGCATTCACCAAGCGAAGGAACTGAAGCAAAGCCAGCAGGAGCATGCAAACCAGCATTAAGAGATGGTGAATCTAACATTCTTATTAGGCACATATGGTAGCATTTTGAATCTGTTGTGTGACAAGTACAAACTTGGTGATTTGAAGGACCCTACCATTTTTACTACACATTTCAGATGCTAAGCAAGAAATGTACACCATTTTAAGCAATCGAATTTGCTTTGTTTTCTTGTGGGCAGTGTTATGTTGATACTCAGCAGGTCTGTTGCTTTTGACATCTCAAGGAACTTCTTGACTTCAGATAAGGGAAAAAGATTTGTTCGAGTGAGAGAACTGTCAACAGTGGCTTCTCACCCAAAACACATATAGGAAACTATTATAATCTGAGAATTTTCGTTGATATTCAGCAGGTCTGTTGCTTTTGACATCCCAAGGAACTTCTTGACTTCAGATAAGGGAAAAAGATTTGTTCTAGTGAGAGAACTATCAACAGTGGTCTCTCACCCAAAACACATGTAGAAATCTGAGGATTTTCGAATCATATTTGTGCAACCCTAAGATCAATTTAGAAAGATGCTCTGTAGCTTAAAAAGGACTCCGAATCAAATCCCTCAAAGATCGACTCTGGTTGTCCATTGAGCAATGGTCAAGTCTAAGGTTTCAAGGGATGATTTTTTTTTTTTGTTCAATGAGGTGAACTAAGATTGGTGAAAACATTTGTTCTAACAACTTTTTTTGGATGGGAGACCATGCAGGTTGGCATTTGAGTCAAATCTAGTGATGCCATTTGGATAATTCTAGAAGTTAATTTAGTGAGACTTTTAAATAAATATTGCGACATAAGATGCATTGCTCCATGAATAGGCCCCTTCTTACGTCCTACTCTCCAAATTTGTCCTGTGAAGGGAACGGATGCAGCAAGCCACAATATTTCATACTGATATTGCTTTCCTCAAAACTAACCATGGCTCAACATTCTTCACATTATTCTCGATATGAAAACAAAATCTTCCTACCATTACATCTAAGTTTAAGTCTTTTTCACCCTGGCTTGTGGTACTTTGAAAATCAGGTGGCTTTTACATAAAAACCGGTCCATAAATACTATCCATCTGTACTATGCAACAATAATGGGCAATACTATGGCATTTTCATGCTGCTTGGGACTCGGACGATCAAGGAAACTGCAACCATCCTAGTGTCTCCTCTAGGACTTCATTCTATGTTATTTTAATACATTTTAATTGTTTCCTTATACTGCATGATGGTTCAAGCTTCCACTACTTTTAGTCCGCGGTCTGTTCAAGCCGCAAACCTCATAATCATTGAGATTCTCCTCTACTCACTTCTTGAAATCAACAAAAACTTGTGGTTGTGAATTCTCTCCACTTGACTTTGATCTGAATCACTTGCATGCAAAGTTTTTCTGTATTCAAAACATTTTTGTATTCTGATATTGTAATTTCAATAGTTATTGTACTTTTCTTATTGTTAGATCTTTATGTTTATTTGATTAAAACAAAGGTAAGAATTTTTGTTCATCTAACGGTGAATATTCTTGACTCAGGTGCAGGGAAGAATGTCAGGGATGAGAACCCTTGCCCACAGTGCTTCTATAACCACAATTGATTGGCACCCAACGATGCCCATTTTCTTGACAGGATCGGTTGATCACTCTGTTCATGTCACCTCGATTTCTTGATGGTATACATTATGTAGTCCTTTTATCTTTTTGTTTTTATTTGAGTGTCAAAGTTTCAAATGTATAGAATTTCATTTGATTTCAGATTTAATCAGGCCTTGAGTGTTGATGAGCATCGTACTGGTGGATTTATTGTGGATAATTCCTTCCCTAACCCCAGAAAATAGAATTTTGGAATCGTTCGGACTTAAAAATAAAATGTTCTATTATTTTGTAAAGAGAAATGATCCTATAGGACCCTCCCCCACCCATGTGTGTAGGACTCCAAAGGATCACCATTAAATTTGGTACGGATCTATAGAAAAGTCAAGTCCCACACCCATGTGATAAGTTTTCTAGAGATCCATACCAATTTTAATGGTGATCCTTTGGGGTCCTACATACATAAATGAAGGAAGGTCTTATAGGATCATTACTCTTTTATAAATTACCCCATGTAGCCTTATGGCCATGGCCTGTTATAGTCATTTTCCTTTTTCCATTTTATTGGCACTTAAAAGTGTTCTAGAAATAAATCTTGGAATTCACCTTTGGGTAACATTGGTTGGGAAATAATCACTTTTAAATTATAGAAAATATACAATAATTCCATTTACTTTTAGTACAGAGGTCGTAGTTCTTTGGATGTGAGATAGGGGTGGGCTTTTGACTGGCTCAAAGTCCAACCTATGTTTTTTCAAGCTGTGGCATACTCCAAGCTGTCAATTTTTATATGCGATGGTTAGGAATGATTTTGACCTCTTTTTGCTAGAAATAAATGGTTATATAAAGCCTTAAAATACGTGGGGATTAAAAGTACCATATAAAATGAAAACACTACGGTAGAAAGAATGCCATAAAATTTTTTTTATCTATTACTTATTACAGTATTTTAATTACTGTAATACTACTTTAAGTTATTACAGTATTTTAATTACCATAAAATTTAATATGAATTATGGTAAAACGAGTACTGTGAAGGTCATTTTCGTAAAAAAAAAACCTAAAAATGAAAAAAAAAAGGTGTAAATGAAGTTTTTGAAAGTTGAGGTTTTTTTTTAATTAAATTAAAATATAAGTATATTTGCGATAATTACCTATTTTTATTTGAAATATTTAGTTTTGTTTTTTATTAGGTGTAAAACTATAAAGATGCTTGGACGTGCTTGGATGCCCCACTTTTCATGTGAATTGAATTTATAAATAAAAAACCAAATTAAATTGTAGACCCCCCCCGGTCAAACTCATATTGAAATCGCCTGTTGACAGGGATGCCTGTCTGCCTTTCAAAGCATCCATCTGGTACAAACGGTTACGTACCTTCAGTCACTGTTTGTCCATGGCTTGGTGTGTGTCTGTGCTACTCTCCAAGGTACTTCCCAAGTGTATCATGGAACAGTGGCCTTGAAGTTAACCAAAAGTCATTGGGTTGCAGAAAAGTTTTGCCTATTCCCACAAGAATGGTTAGGCTTTGATTTACCATGCATCAATTAATGGACTTCTTATTTCTATCTAATATGAACAAGGCATGAATCTGAATTTTGATCCCTTCTCTTGCATTATCCGTACTATATCCATGCATTTCCAAATAAAAAGGATGTACAATTGTAGGGAAATGTATCAAAATACACCTCGGTTTTTAACTATTAAGCATTTTAATTCGAACTCAAATTAATAAGTGGGGAAATGTATCAAAATACACCTCGGTTTTTAACTATTCAGCATTTTATCCTTTTTGTACTATTCGAACTCAAATTAATAAGTGCTTTGATGGGTGTTTTGAAATTAAAGCAAAATACATGGGTAAAAAGTTAAAATGATTAATATCGTAAGTATATTTTGACAAATTTCTCATAATTATATCATACCGGATACAAGTTGGGATACAAGTTGGGAGGTTTAAAAAAGGGGAGGACTTTAAACTTTTCTTTAACCCATCTCAAGCCTGGGTAAGTGTTAGGTGGGCATATAAAATTTTGTTAAAAATTTCCATAAATATTGAACTATATTATAAGTAAGTGTTAGGTGGGCATATAAAATTTTGCTAAAACTTTCCATAAATATTGAACTATATTATCTGCTTATAACGATGATGATAATAGGATACAATTGGGATAGAGAACGACCAAACAGCGCTATCCTAATTCATTTCGCAAGTAAAGCAAGGAAAATACGTAGACTATCATTACGGTAAAATTAATAGAAAAATCCCTTTTTATTTTCAAATTTAAAAAATTGTCCCATATATTTTATGTTTTATACTTAAGTCCTATTTTCTTGTAGTGAATTTAATATTTTATTTTCATTCTCAAGATATTTATGAAAAATCGTAAAAAATAATAGTTGAATTCCATTGCAGCAATATTTTTAGGTTAAGCTCACCAAGAACATTACACAAATTCCTGGAAATCTCTAAGCCTACACAAAACAGATACCCCTTAATAGTTGCATGCTATTAAACTCATTTTTCAGAAAAAAACACCCCAAAAACATTCAATAAACAGTAAAAAAAATTACACTTCTCAAAACTTCCGGCAATAACTCAAATCAATCTTCACAAGTTGATTGATCTGTCAATAACTCAAATCAATCTTCACAAATCAATCTTCACAAGTTGATTGATCCATATTGATTGATTTTACAGGTTCATTCAACAAATATTCATTGTCGTTTGCAGAAATTAATGACTTGCATCTTGCGCTCTGCATCTATGAGAACGAAATAGGTGGAGAGAGCGTCATGGTTAGGGAGAGAAAGTAACTGATTGAGGGCGAGAATACTTATCTGATCAATTTAAGAAGCTTTGTGAGAATAAGGGAATATTAAAACAAGAGACGATGTCATACACTTCGCTACAAAATGGTGTTGCAAAAAATAGGAATCGTACTCTGTAGAACATGTTGAGGTCTATGATGGCCCACGCCAACCTCCCAATATCATTTTGGGAAGATGCACTCCTGACTGCGATATATGTCTTAAACAGAGTGCCATCAAAATATCTTCCCAATACCCCTTATGAGTTATAGACAGGTAGAAAGCTAGATCTTTCTCATTTACATCCTCGGGGGTCAGCTGCACATGTTCACATCCCTTCTCTTTTGATAGGGAAACTAGACAGGCGGTCTCTCGAATGCATTTTTATAAGATATTCTGAGAACTCGAAGGAATATGGGTTATTTCAAAAACATTATGGTGGTGGGATGAAAGAAATAGAATCTCGTGATGTAGATTTTATAGAGACAAAATTCCCTAACAAGAAGTGGTCTCATATGTCTGAAGAGCTTTATGAAGAACCTGAATCTCATACAGACGTTGAGATAGTTCCTTCACTTAAGGGTAATAGTCGGAGTCTTCCCATAATTATCGATGATAGTGGGAGTAAGCCACTGATTGAGAATGAGCATATGACCCATATTGAGTCATCGACCAAGCTAGAGACATCTATTAAGAGTGGATCACAGGTTGAACGTTGAAGAAGTCAACATGAGAAAGTTTCTCGTAGGCACTTCAAAGTAGAGGGTCTCATGTGCATTTCACTTTATATTGATGAGCCTAGCTCATTCCATTAGGCCTTGAATTCTCCTGCTGTGGACTAGTGGATGTCTGCTATGAAAGATGAGCTTAGTTCTATAGAGTAGAATCAGGCCTGGGAACTTGTGGATCTGCCGCCTAATAGAAGATCAATTGAAAACAAGTGGGTCTTGGAAATCAAGAGGAAGACAGATGGAACTATAGATAAGTATAAAGCTCATTTAGTGGCGAAAGGGTTCACCCAAGTTTAGGGAGTAGACTACGATGAGACATTCTATCCAGTGGTGAGAATGACCTCGATTCGCCTAATCCTAACAATCGTCACACATATGGACTTGAAACTCTTCTAAATAGATGTAAAGACTGCTTTTCTAAATGGTGACTTGATGGAAGAGATCTATATAGAGCAACCTAAAGGTTTTGAACGCAAAGTATGCAAGCTCAAGAAGTCCATATATGGTCTCAAACAGTCATCAAGACAATGATATATCAAATTCCATAGGGCTATAATGACTTATGGTTTTGAAAGGCTTCAAGAAGACCATTGTGTATACATTAAGAAATATAAGAAAAGCATCCAGATATTGTCTTTGTATGTTGACAATATTCTATTAGCTGAGAATGACCTGGAGCAACTTGTTGCCACGAAGGAATAGTTGTCCTCTAAATTTGAGATAGACATGAGTGAGGCGAGTTACATACTCGGTGTTAAGATACATCGAAATCGCTCTCAAAGGTTTCTTACTACGTCACAAGAAACATATATCCAAAGGATGCTTGAGCAATTTCGTATGAAAGACTCGAAACCCATAGATACTCCAGTTGAGAAAGGGCCTACTATAAGTCTTGACATGTGTCCACAGACAGAAGCTGAGAGAAACAAAGTGTCTCACCATATGCAAGTGCAGTTGGTAGTTTGATGTACGCGATGCTCTGCACGCATCCAAATATTGCCTATGAAGTGGGTTTCGTTAGCCGATACCAGAGTAATCTAGGACAAGGTCAATGGCAAGCAATGACGAGGATTTTTTCGATGCCTTCGAAGAACCTCGAGTCAAATGCTATGTTCCCAAAGAACCGATTTGCGGTTACAGGAATATAGTGACACTGATTGGGCAGCAGACCTAGATAAGCGTAAATCGACTTCGGGTTATGTTTTCTTGCTAGGAGGCAGTGCAGTCTCATGGTGTGGCAAGAAGTAGTCATGTGTCGCATTAAATTTAGATTAATTTGGGCCAAAAGTAAATGAAATCTGTAGACTTATAACACTAGTCGGAGTCTTCCATTAGGCTAACCCGAATGACGTTCTACCGGTGTCTCAAGCCGACCCAATGGACCTATGTTTCACAATCTGTAGCAGTGATACATAATTGGTCACATCAAAGTTGCTGAACCACAGCTTCCCGTCATCGGGGGTTCAATGGATTACTGGTGCATTATTGTGGGACATCTTCTTACTTAAATACAGGGGTCCTCTCAAAGCACATGTGTACTAGCTCTTCTAAGACGGATAATACTATAGAATAGTGACTTTTTCATACGACTGTGGGTGCACATGCCATGGAACGGTCTCGTGTTAGG